GTTTATCATTATTTACCGAGCACAAATGCCTTAATTGGTGATGATTTATGAACTTAACCATATGCATAATTGTGTATCGGTATGGGCATTTACGATATCGGTTAGTAACTATGCGCATAATGCGCATAGGCACATCTCTAGAAATGGGACAAAAGAAATAACCAATTTGATAATTGAACAAAGAAAACATGAATACAAATCATTTGCTTCCAAATGAAAAATTATTGCTAATTGTCTGCCTCAAGCAATCAAAATCAATAAACGAAGGAGCTTATGAAAGAAAACATGAGGTACTTAATTTGAGTTGAACCACGAACAGTAAACTAGTACGGCTCAAGTACTTTGAGAAATTATCTGAGGTTCGAAATGAAGAATTTGCTAATGCAGTCGCTCACTTCAAACATTCTATGTAAACGACAAATAGACACATGGTTCAAACAGATTATTAACGTCCCAATCAAGCGCGAAGCGTATATGAAAAAACTTTGAAGTCGAATCTGAACTGGCCGTTCGTAATTGTCTAAATATTGAACAAATTAAAAATTTGGTTAAACGTTGTTGGCTCGAATTGAAGGGTTGAATAAAGATATTAGTGAGATGAACTTAAAGATGCTACATACTAGCTTGATGAACAACGTTAAATCTAGGTGATATTTTGCAAGCAGTCTGAAGATGGTAATGTATGAAAGACTCGGATATACGGAAGACTGTTTTTGGTGTGGAATTCTATGTTGGGAAGGTTGCATACAAAAAGACATTATACATGTCATGATAGAAACGCATAATAAAGACAGCAAGCATTTGATTATGAGATCATGTCATAAAATCCTTGATAATGCTATAGGTTACATTTGGAAATCATAGAATGCAGCGAGGCATAAGACGAATATTTCAATGGTTTGTTTTTTCCGAATCAAATTCAATAATCTAATGTATTGGTTCTTTACAAAACTACATAAGATGTTAGCAGTAAATCATGGACTTCAGCCAGCATTAAAAGAAAATTTGTAAAAGAACAATTGCATAAACTTAGATTATCAACAAATTTGTCCAAGATCAAGTGAAGTGCAACTACGAAAAGGCCTTTTACAAGAAATTGAAACGAACATTTATCAATTTTTCTCAGTCCAACGTCAATGTTGACAATAGACAATAATATGCATACATGCACTTTTTTTTAAAAAAAAATAATACGAACTCAATAGAAATTTACGTTTTCAGCATTTTTATTCTTTAAGACGGTACCTGTATTTGTGATCGACAAATTTGAAGTCCGGACACATGTTATCGATACATATCGCTCCCCGTTAGACCGGACATCCCTAATTTGGCAATAGATAGATTCGGACAAAGATTCCCGGCCAAAGAACTCAGCCCCAATTTATGGCTGATTTAACTGTCATTAAATAGGAAATTATCTTTTGTTTTTTCATACATGTACATGTATACAAAAATTATAATATGACTGAAGAAAAAGTCCAAGAGCCGAAAGTTATAGCAGTACTGTTTTCACTTTTGCTTCTTTGTACATGCTTTGTTATAATCTATTATAGTCATAGAAATTTTACGAGATTGCGTATTGTGTGGTAATAAAAAACGGGGGTTTCTTTGTACTCTGATCGATTTGAGTTGTTAATTAACCCTTTTAATATTTTATATTTTTTAGTTTAATAGGCAACACGCTGATTCTCGTTTTTTCGATACTCAATATTATATTAAGCGAACAAACAAAATTGCACCTTTTTGTTATTTTGATCATGAATGCAATTTCTACATCTTTCGTCTCTCTTCTGCTAATGGATAACCAAGACGACAACATCAACAAGCTAAACGAAACATCATATTTTCAGACCAAGCGCCATACAAAATTGATGAAGTCTTGGTTTGGTTTGATTGGAGTCTACAATATCTTCACTATCTCTTCGACAATTTTGATTCTTATTAGCAAATACAACGATATCGGGTCAAAAACTCTGCCTATTTTTTTGACGCAAAATTTATTCGGAATTTTTCTAATTGTGTTTACGTTGATTGCAATTTTTCGGTTTACAGTTCATCCTTCGTCTTCGTCGTCGTTTACAAATAGTGATGACAACCTTTTATTGGAACATCAACACAGCGCAAAACCCGAAACAGTGTCCATCATAATTTGGTACATTTTAACAACAGGATTTTTAGCATTACTATTTCTCGCTTTCTACATCAACTGTCTAATCGGTATAAATTTAGAAAAAAAATGGACTTTGTTAAGCGAATGTGGTTTTGTGATTTGTGGCCTAATTTATATGGTGGTGGCTTTGCCGCCACCTAAATGGACTCTCAGAATATTAAGAGAATTGGTTGTGTTGCAGAGAAATGATGAGAATGATAATGTTGAGATGGCTGGCTTATAGGGCGTACTACGTATTTATAAGGAGGAAGGTTAGGGAAAATGTTCTATTAAATTCATGTTCGATATTGTGAAATAGTTTTACTATATTTTCAACTGCTTCTTTTATTATACTTTTTCAGGAACCTGGTTTTTAGAATGCAGCCTTTGATCTGTAGAATTGATAATAGTCAGTGAAGCAATTATGTATAAAAGTCTCGCAAGCCAAAGAGACAAGTCTTTGTATGATTTGAAGAAAAAGAAATAAAATTAATTATTTAACTCTTGCCTAACGTCGTCGCTTCAGTTTTTATTTTTGTGTCTAAACAAAATTGATAGCTTTAATTCTTTTTGTGCTTAACGTTAACAAATCGAAGGATTTACTGTTTTGGTCATGAATCGCGTCTGGTTCTATGGGTCAAAATTGCGACGAACAGAATCTCGAAAGCATATAATCCCGAAAACAAAATCCCGACAAATAGAATCCCGACAAACACATTCCCGAAATAACAAAATCCCGAAAACTAGATCCTGAAATTTCTTTGTTTTAACAACAAATAATCCTTGCGAAAATTTACTATGTCATGTGTTCAATATGACCCTTACTCCAATATAACCTTAACCCTAACCCTAATCTTTACGACAAATAAAATGTTTCGGGATTTTGTTTCGGGATTGTGTCTTTTCGGGATTTTGTTTCGGGATTGTGTCCTTTCGGGATTTTGTTTCGGGATTGTGTCCTTTCGGGATTTTGTGCTTTCCGGGTCCCGTTCGTCGGGATGTAGAACGATTTTAAACGGCACCCGTTTGAAGTCTTGAGTTATTGAAATATTCCTTTGATTAACCTAGTATCAAAAGATTCGGTCTCTTTTGTTTGTGTATTGGAAGGTTCACAATTTCTTCTTTGTTTAAAGATTTTCATGACGATAACGATAAGAAAAGCTTTCTGGTACTTTGTCGTCATTTACGTAATAATTGGTTAAAATTTTTTTGAAAAAGATACGGTCTCCATGTGCCAGAATTTGTTTTATGTTTCGTAATAAGAGAAATATTGTGATTCCTTTAAATATTAGCAATTTATTAAAAACATAGTCTAGAGTTAACAATCCATGAAGAATGGAAGTTCCTTCCTAATTGACGCATGCATAATTTTTGTTGAAAATATGCCGAAAAGCATTATGCATGTACATGTAATGTAATTCGTGTAATTTGCATAATGGCGTGGCTTTACAATTTACCGTAATTCCGTAGCATCCATAGATTACCACCCGGATACGAAAATGTAAGAAACCGGGTCTTAATCAAGCTACATGGTAGAATGCAACAGATCCAGGCAATGTCTGAAATTAATGTGCACAATATGAATGTGTGTACAGGTTTTTAAAATCCTTCACCAATTTTTGCTGAAGTATGTGCAAGAATTCACTAATTTTTTTATATAAGTTACTTTGAGTGTGCACATTATTCACATAAATTATTGCAACTATGTGAATTTTCTCATTGGTCACTTTGTCATACAATTTTATTACCAGACAATTACGATTAATATTAATTGTCTGTTAATTTATTGTATTAATTGGCTCAATATCTCGAGATCCAGTAGTGGGAAACAAGTATAAGGGTCATTGTTCGATTCATCAGAACCAGGGAAATCAAATGAGGGACTTTACACTCGATTCCCACCACTGGATTTTGAGATATCGAGTCTCAAATTCATATATAAAACACTTACACTTGATTCCTGCCACTGGGTCTCAAGATATTGAGTCCCAAAAAGTCATACATAAAATTGATAAATTAAAATTATATAAATAAAAAATTTTGATTTAAAAATTTAACTAGCGCACATATTTCAAAAATTATTCACATAATTTTCATATTTAATGTGCACAATTTCACATGTTTTTGAGCTCAGATTTCAGACAATGGATTTCAGGGTAGTTTATGTTCTATGCGAAATTTACAAATCTTTTTAATGCAACCGCCTACATGCATGCACTCTCTGATTTAGTCTCAAGTATACGTAGCTTTAAGTATGTTACCCTCCGTAAATACAATTTTTTTCTATGTCTCCCAATGACGTGCTCCTTACCGTACATGACATTTTAGAAGGTGTATTATCAAAGGAGTCTATTTAAAGATTAAATTTTTAATTTTATTAAGTATTGTTAACTTTTTAATTATAAGTCATATATAACAGAATTCATTTTTTTGGTCATAAGTTCGTAGAGCTTACTCATTCAGATTGCGGCTTTACAGGTACTGTATGTGGACAATTGATATACAAACTAATAGGTCTTTTTGTTTCCTTTCATTTAATAATTTGATTTAAATTTTCAAATTTAGTCTTAGATGAATATGAAATGCACGTCTAAAGTCATGATAAGAAAAAGTTTTTTATTAAGAGAATCAACCTTGATCTCTGAAGTAAAATGTACAGAATGTTAATATACATTTATCCTGAAATTTTACACAAATCAAATTTTAAACAAAAGAAAGATGGTATTCTATCTTTTCCTAGTAAAAAAAATATCATTTCTTTGGATGCCAGAATGCGAAATAGGTTAAATTTATTGTTTTCTCTTGGTTGTTTGACATACTTGTATGTCATAAAGAAGGGGACATTCATTAAAGCCGGGTCATTACGGATACCACACCTTCAAACCTCACTAACGGTCATTCATCTGTTAGAAAGAGAAGTTTTTTCAGTTTACAATGAAAACTATGTTTTTTTTAGTACTGATAAATAAACCACCATTAAAATTTGATTGCACATGCTGTGATTCTCGTTATATACTAATCGAGTGGTCCAATTTTTGCCCAAATTAGACTGTTGGACGTTGAAGTATCGTGTTTCAAAGCTACAGAATTTTTAAATTTGATTGCAATGACTACATGTATTCACGATCAAATATTGATATCGATTATTTGTATTTCTTTTTAAAAATTTATATTATTCTAAAAGCTAATCAATTGTACAGTATTTTTAAAGATCATGATATTTAAGCGGCATCAAGCCAACGACTGAAACAGTCGGGCTTTTGTAGGACACGTGGGATCATTCTCAATTTTGCATTAAAATGACTTGGCTTAATAACTCGGCTTAAAATAAATTTTATTATAATGCATATACTGTATATAATGTTTTAAAAAGGCTACCTTTTTTTATTGTTGAGGTTCCGACAGATATTGCATGTGACCTTTAATAAACGCACTTCTCAAACTAAATAAAATTGGTACGTGTATTAGTTTTCTTGTTAACTGTATATGCACAATTTAAATAAAGACATATTTAAAAAATTAGAAGAATTGATTCTAGTGAACTAGCAAATCGACTAAATAAATTCAAAATAGAAATTATAATAAAATGAAGCCTCAATATGTAAATTTCAAGTTAAATAAAATAATTTAATTCAAATTGAATATACATGTATTCATTTTAGGCTTCTTTTAGGTATGGTTGGTTATTGATATCTTAGCGCGCGCGATCGTTATGATATTTAAACTAACAACGAAACAATTTTTCGCATAAAGTTATGACGTGACAAATGTGAATTTTAATATTTGCTCGATAGATAAATTTGGTTTGAGTACCCTTAGATTTTATAATGAGACCTAATGTGTATAATGATAAAGGCCATGTTTTTTTTTGTTCTAGCGGTTACATGTACATTTTGTGAATGAATCGTTCGGATAAATATAATATATTCATGCTTGAAACAAAATTTTATATTACAATACGATTTGATTTTTACACATAAATTATATATAATACATGTAAATGTGTGACTATATCGATATTTGTCAAAGCAAAGTTAATGACAATTCAATGATCATTATATTTAATATACATAAGAATGTGTATCGGTATACATGTACATTCTTGTAAAACGGTACATGTATCAGTATTCATTGTAATGTTGTACACGCGATCACTGTTAAATTTCTTTGTATTTTGGCGTATTTGTAGATACATGTAACGGTAATTGGTGTATGAATTACAAGTGGTTATCTTTTTAAGAAATTTCGCTCTGTAAGCTATCATTGCGGATCATTACAGTTTTTAAAAAAGTTTAGAAAATAATGTCTTTTAAAGTTATGATGTGTTTCTCTCGACTTTATGCTACATCATCGACTGTTATCACGGTATTCTGTATTATTGGTCCTATTTTATGACTATCCTCGTCAAGACCATCATAATAATGATTCTGGTGATGAATTGCTGGCACTGGCATTCTGATTATTGTTGGTGTTGTAGATGTCATCGAGATATTATCATTTGCATTAGCATTATCATCATGATTATTCGTAGCGGTGGGTAAGACTTCTTGTCTTAACCTTCCATCACCAACTGGCGAAACTTGTCGTTTCGATTTCCACGACGCACAGGCCGGCACAATATAATTGTCATATAGCCACAACACACCGTTCCCCAGAAAACACCAAACAATCGATACCGCAAATGCCATGACAAATACTCCAATTGTTGTCAATATGAAAAAGTTTAGGATACTTTCAACTTGCATTTTCCTGACTCTTAGAATTTTTGATTTTTTGGTTTTTGATTGTGAAAATTTGTAAAAAATGATGACGATAGGAAGAAATCAGCTAAAATACGGGTATATATACATGTACATGTATAGATATGTATACATGTATCTATGATTACTTTGCAATCGAATGATAAACAAAAACATTAAGCCAAGCTAACCCATAAAATACTCTATCATTGTGACGAGGTATTTAATTTTATTAATCGTAATACATGTATATTTAATAACGATAACCGGAAATAGTGAAATCATAATACATGTACATATCGGTATTGACTAACTTTTTCTATTCTAGGCAAGCGCTAGCTTTTTTTCTAAGCCCGATTACATCATTTTGGACACATCAAATATGGATCATTCTATTTATTATATGCATACAATAATAATCTATTTAAATAATTATGTCCCAAGTGGCCCTACGATGTGACGTTAATTCTCCATCAGCCCAAGTATAATTGTCAGACTTACTAGACTCTACTTTACTTTCTTCTGGTCCCTGTTTCTCGCCGTCGATTTGAAGACTCGGCACAATCAACAATTGCGAATTTCTTCTCGTTGAATCGGAATCTTTATAAATTTTTGTGCTTCCGGTTAACGAAACATTACCGCCACTACTAAACTGATTTGATGGTCGAGACGGTGCCCAAAAGATAGAGGAATTCGGTCGTGTCCCATGATTTGACGCTGATGATGTTGTTTGGTTGTTGGAGCGTTGCCATGAGAATCGTGAAAATCGAGATGGTCGAATTATACTGTCGAGATGCCAGGCTGGACTTTTTATCCGTTTCCGACAGAAATATATTGATGTGAATGCTAGAATACAGAGTATAAGAGTCACAAGACATGTTATAAATACGACTACCCAAGTTGCTATAGTGCGATGTGGTTCCCCAACAACTTCATCGTCCTTATTATCTTGACCGTTTTTTTTGTTGGTGTCGTTTTTATTGCTTGGATTTTCGTCATTTTCTGTATTCATATCAAACCCTTCAATCAACGGTAATGTAAAATTATTTGATTGACTATTTATCACGATATTGTAATTAGTGGTCCATGTTCGTGTTGTCATGTTAAATATTACAATACTATTCAATGGAGCGTCACATATCGATAGATTCATGGTAGCGCAGCCACCATATACCTAATTAAAAAAATTGATTAAAAGTTTGCGCGCATACATGTGACCGATAAACTTTCAATCAAAAACCAAAAAAAAATAATATACCAGAACAGCATCCGATCCAGGAAACTGAACAAATGACGCGCCATATCTACTCTTCAACTGCGTAGAAGAAATATTTGTTTCGAATCGCATCTTTGCAATATTCAATGGAAACACATTCACCGGTGAGTACTTTTGAGTTTCAGAAAATCCGATCATGAATAACGTATCATTGTTGACGCCTATTGCGCCATCACTTATTCCGTAGGGAAGTGTGAGATCAGGGGAAACCCATTGAGTTCGTTGATTAGAAATCCATATTTTTTGCGAGAACCCAAGAATATTTCCAACATTGTCGGAAAAATATCCACCGAGAAACCATGCGTTACCTTTTGCTGATGCTATTGCTTGGGAAATTGGAGCATCGATTGTTTGCTGAAAACCATAAAATATTCCAAAAAACAGATGAGAACGTGCAACCGATAAAATTCACGAAAAGATAGTCTTACTTACGTTTTTTCGTACTTCAGACCAAGTCCATGGCATCGTTGTCACATTCAAAAAATAAATAATCTGAACTAACGACCCATTTTGGTCCTCATTCACCCCAGTATTTCCCGCATAAACCAATAAAAGATTATCTGAGATGAAAGCAGCTTTCGGATTAATGCCAAATCCTGGATATGAACTATTCATAACCTTTCTCCAATCGATCCAAACACGTTGATTCAAATCATAAACCTGTGTGGAAACTTTTCCATTTGTAGAACTTAGGGAAACTATTCCCCCAAGCACTAACAAATATCCTTGAGGTGTGACAGCACATGCCGCCGACCCAACATTTAACGCATTCTCGGTATCTAGAAATGTCCAAGTTATGTCGTTGTTGACATTTAATGGTAGCGTAGTTGAGTAGAAAAAAGGGGTGGTCGAAATTCCTTGATCGTCTGTAGAATTGTCCCAGCCACCGAAGACGTATAATTCATTTTTCCATGTTACTGAACAATGCCCATATCGCCCTGGTGTTATTGTTTTCGTCGTATTTGTTGATTGTGAATTTGCATGAATAAAGATCGAAAAGAATGATAATATTAGTGTTGTCCGTATTGTTGATGTTCTACACCCGAACATCATCGCTATGCAAACCCTATCGCTATCTCTCTTTATTATCAAACAATTTTGGAATCTTTTTAATAAAGTAAATAAAATAGAATAAGACAAAACAAAATATAATTTACCAAGAATTCATTTCTTTTTGCTGTTAGCTAGCTATTATGTGTGGGGTATATGTATGGTTTCCTCGCGTTAATTTTCGATCCCACAGCACATATTTAAGTATTTAATGAAAAATATTTATGCGTCAATGTTCCACCCCACGTACACGTAAGACGAAATATGCAAATGCATTTACATTTTCTGCCTTATTGGTGTAAAGTATAATCTGTGAACGAATACATGTACATGTACACGGTACACCGTGGAACTCTTTCATCCTTGTGGTTTTTTCAACTATCAGCAACGGGAGAAATAAATGTCTAAATACATGTACATGAAATTTCGTTTAATTCCTATATTCGCTGTAAATAAAATTTTGCTTACATTGTATTCTACGAGTATAAGTAACAAGCTCATCAATCTCTACCTTAGATTTGAAATTTTATTTAAAAACATTGCCAAATATGGGAGCGGTTAAAGCGTAGGGCATCATGTGATCCATGTCCAATAGGCGTGCGCAAATTTTTTGATAACCCGGCAAAACAAATCCGACACAAGATATGAAAAATAAATATTACTCGAAAACCAATGCTTAAATTTGTCTTGAAATACTAATTAAAATTGTCGGGACAGCAATTTTACATGTAACCTTGTCCTCTGTCCCTTACCCAGACCTTATAAATCATAAAAATCATTAATAGTAAACTCTGAAAATTTAAGGGGATTGATCACATGATGGACTACGTTTTAACCGTTCTCCAAATATGGGAAATTAGATGTTGATATGACGACGACGATTCTCTTTTTTCCAAATCCGGAAATTAAATGTTGAAACATTAAAGTAGATGCAGTTCGTCCTCATGAATTGAAGATAGATTAACGTATCAAACCACCTCAAAATTGGCGTTTATTTACCATAGTACATGTATACAGAACTTTCGACTGATCTTTGTAACAATGATGCGTCCGTAATGCATGTAACGGTAACGGTAGTGTTGTCGATTTCAGCGCATAAATAGCCTCTGATTTCTTTTTTAGCCACAAAGCAAGCAAAAACAAAACTGATAACACAATGCATCATGTAGCGAATTGCACTTGATAGAACCTTAGATGAAAATATCTTCCAGTATGAAGAACTATGGTCGTCCTATCCCATTACTATTACTGTAGATGATCTAGTTTGAGAAAATCGTCAAGAACTAAAAAATTTAAAATTCGTTTTTCATTTATCGGAAGGTTGTGATGAAGCAGAATGAAACAGGAACAAAGAAATGTGATATACAAAAATTATCCAAGATTGTTTCTATATTTTAGAAATAAGAAACAGAGCATGCCAAAGATGACTAGCCAAAATCTTTTCGTCAAGCAATCAGACTTACGCCTCAACTCATTAAATCTGAAGAGAATTTAGGGTTTACTACTATTAGATTGGAATCTCAACGATAAATCCACAACTCAAACATTTTTAACGATAATAGCAATCAGCTTAACTCATTGGACCAAATCTCACTTGATCAAATTGAACAAATCTTGAGATGATAAAATCATGCTTCATTATGTCCCACATAAACAAGTTAATCCTGCTTTGATATTATTGTTGGATTGTATCCCTATTAAGTAAATATGTAAAATTGTAAACTTATTTATTTTACTATAGTAAATTAAACAAATTCAAGAATAAGTTACCGACCTAACTTATAAATAATGACGGTATAACTATCGTTTCCTTCAAAATCTGTAAAAATAAAATTTGGGATAAAACGATGATCTAGAGATGTTCATACATGTATACATGTATGATCTATTTCTAAATAGGTATAGAATCGAATTTTTGATTACTAAAATGTGCTTTAGCAACAAGCTCGCTTGTAACATAATAAAATATAATTATCAAGGTATTGTCTACTAAGTCACAAAATGGCACTTAATATAACGTTTTCATGAGATCGAATGATTAATTAATTACTTTTATTGACATATTTGCGAAAGATTTTTAGTTGCATGTATTCTAAAATCAAATTCAATATTTGAGGACGCTCATAACTGTAAAAAAAGAAGTTGCAAGAAATATTATATTAATATTTTTTAATAATGCACTAGGAATAAAAAATATTTGCTAGAAAATTAATAGAGAATCAAATTTTGAATTAAAACGATTTGATGTTAAAGATTTATGTATTATCACTATATTATATTTGGCAATATAACATATTCCTTTTTATACAATTAATTTATAAATAATAAAACTAATTTCTTTTTATGGATGTGATTTAATGGGAAATATACCCACTTCAATTCAATTAATAATACATGTGTAACAATATAAAAATTGACACAAAGATCCAAATAAAGGGAATATTAGTGGATTGTGAATTGTAAAAAATTTGATCCGTATCACATGATAATGATGTGTACAACTTTATAAGTGATATCTCATCGAATGGTGGTATTCTCATGTGATGAGATATCGTACGTGAAAGTCACGGCATGCCATATTAATTATGTATTTAATTTATGTGCGATATCTCGATCATCTGATTCGTCTAGTCATAACGAATCAAATGATGTTAATTTTGTGCAATAGGTATTTATTTTATGCATGTATTATAATAATTTTCTTATGACTTTGTGTTGATGAAAAAATTATAAATTTTTTAAATTCAAGTTTTCTCAAAATCTACTGTATGGAATTTCTTTTTCTTTATTTGTTTGAAAGCTATACTTTTCAAGAATTCAAAATTTTTATTTTGTTTTAATATTTTGCTTATTAACTTGATATTTAAAATTTAAAAGTGTCCACAATATTCTGCTTGGACACTGTATTATTTATTATAATAATAAATTATTGATTTTCTAAAAAATTTATTAATATATTTAGAATTGGTTCTTTAAATTTCTGAATTATTTGAAAAATCTTTTTATTATTAATATATTATCAATTTTGACTAAAATTTTCAAGATTAAATATATTTTATATAATTAATTTACCTTTTTATTATTATTAATATTAGATAAATCAATAATAAATTAATTTTTATTTTATATTAATATTCTATATATAATCTGGTACAAAAAGATTGATATATCATTATAAAATTAAGATAATATGTTAAGAAAAAAATGGTGGTTGATAAAAAATATATTTTTTTGTAATATATAAAAAATATACATTATTAATAATAATAATATTATAAATATGATCAATTCTATATTTAGTAATCAAATTTTTATAAATATTTTTTTGTTTATAATATATTGATATATTGTATACTTTTATTTATACTTTTGTAAAGATAGCTAACATATAGCTCAAAGTTCAAAGACAAATAATTAAATATTACTGGCTCAACAGTATCTATTTAGTCAAAATAATATATAAGATAATAAATATTTCTCTTTATACAGTTAAATATAATCTTAAAAAACAGATATAAGTATAGAAATGAATATAAAATCAAGATTATACAAATTTTATCTTATATTATTAGACAGAATAGCTAATATAATAAAATTTTTTTGATCTATTAACTTGTTATAAAATAGAAAATATATAAAATATATCAATTTATATATTATAATATAGAATTATATAGAAAAAAAAGAAATATAAAAGCTTTATATCTTTAGTAATACTAATACTTACAAAATAGTATATTAAATTAAGAAAAATATGAATATAGATATATATATATATAATATTAATTGAAACTAAATAATATTTATAGATAAAATAATATTTAAACTTTTCTAAAATAAAATTCATTATTAGTATAAATGTAACAATTTTGATTGGGTTATCTTCCTTTAGATCTCTTTTAGTTTAGATCTTCATTTTGCACTATCTGTATAACAGATTAGCTTTGTATTACATTTTTAAGA